GCTGAAGCGTTTGGTAATGAAACATGTGAGATAGAAGATTGATGTAAACATAATTAACATATCAAGGTTGTTCCAGCTGATGAATAACACATAACACGCCATTGCTGACGACATGGGGCGCATGTTAAGTAGCTTTTGGGTGTTTATTTGTGTTTCAAACAGGTCAATGTTTTAGCAAAAAGTTGATATGTCTGCACTCGTGTAGAACATGCTGGGTGCACAAGAAGAGAATCACCAGCGCCGAGTTGAAATGACAAATATGGTCAAGTATGAACCTTTTGAATTGAATTGATCAGCCCTACATAGATACATGTAGCAGAAAGCTTCATAGTGCAAGCTAAGCCGCCCTCAGTTTCTTTCAATAATTTCTGTGAACTGCGAGATCTCGCATTATGCGTAAAATCAATTGCAAAAACAGGGGTTACAGAATTATAGTGGTCAAAACATTGCATGGCATTCAACATATGTGATATTGCGAATTAGTTGTACACTTAATTAAATGCTATATACATGTGATGATTGTTAATGGTTAAGGACATCTCAAAAATATGTTCCCATCTGAATAATTAGTAACTAAAATTAAACAACATACAAACCGCCATTTTCAGGTATTATGCAAAACGGTAAATTGCCTGGACGCTTGATTGCTGTGACGTCTCAAGACTGTGATGCTCAGAAGAGTTTGAATAAAGTGCAACCCGGCATTCACTAGAGCTTACACCATGAACTTCATGTTTTGTCAAACAGTTTAGATGAGTCATAGACAATTAGTGCAAGTCAATGGAAGTAAGTGTATGGGTCATGACAATTACCCATGTGTTGAAGTATGGATTCACAGACACAGTTGTATTCAATAACAGCATCAAACCACTCCTGAATTCAAATCAGATGAGAAACATACAATTGGTAGATTCACCTTTCCATGCAGCAGCAGCAATCAGTTTATCACGATCATTTCGCAAAATTGGATGCAGCAGCCAGCACAGCATATTTGTAGTGCACTATATCACCAACACTGAGATAAGGATTTTGTATACTAGTACTGTCAATTCTTCAAAATTTGAGCCTTAAATTAGGAATGACTGTTTCATACCGTCTTTACTCAATAACAATACTTTTCTACTTCCAAAAATAACAAAAAACATATTTTATCTGGACATGCCATTCATTAGATAATTTCATTGTTCCCCGCAAACATTTCATGACCTGAGCTACCATGGCGAAACAAATGTGACGTGTCAATGAAGAGATTATGATATTCTTGGTGTGTTATTAAGTCTGGTGATTAAAGGTCGACAACAGCCGTGGGCCTGATAGAGACTATATCATAAGTTTCTGTGAACCTTTTTCAATAGAACACATATTTGCACACCATGACATAGAGCCAAGGATCTTATGTGGTACGAGATTCGCAAATTAAAATAAATAAATAAATAAATAAACAGAGTCAACCCAAGAAATACTGGTTAATTAATAAGAATCGTGAATTTGTAAAACTCGAGACCTCTGAGATCAGATATACGACAATGTCAAACAATTAAAACATTTTGTTAAACAAAACGTTCATTCAATATGTCTTTATTAGAAATAAAAAAATTAAATGAAAACAGTGGCAAAAAGAAAGATTTATCTTTATATATATATCTTCATCTCATAATTCTGTATATGTTATGAAATCACCTTCTTCGTCTACTAGATTGTTAAGTCTATATGGGTATATTTTAAAATACAACATTTAGAGCCACCAGTCATTAAATTGTGTATTTATCCAAGAGAACTCATAACAGCAAGGTTCATTCATGAAATAATAGTCTCCAAGATACACATCTATACTACGGGGGTTTAAATGCCAATGCCACATCCTAAATCCTTGTCTTTCTAAGCTCTGTAGGATGCTGTACCATTCCCGTATCTTCGCTCCATTATCAGTGTAGTCTAGTTCCCACATATGAATTTCAAATACGAGTTGTTTAACATAGTGCAATATTCCCTGTTCCAGCATCTTCTTTAGTGATGACCATTCACCACCTTCTATATCAATTTTCAGAACATCAATTGGCTTCTAACAAGACAAATAATAGTCACAGTAATTATGTCTAAATAATCAAAACCAGGTTATTTATGTACGTACTCAATTGCATAGGTCTGTCATCATACAAAATTACATGTATATTTTATTCATCGTCCGAATCGATGAAGCTGACCGACCACCTATGGCTGTCCCTACGAATTCGTGCGTGATCGTGAACAAGGTATGTTCGATCTTAAAGTTGAACGATTTGATAGAGAGTGGGATACATCAAACAGCGTTCCTGTAACAACATACGCATCAATCTCAAATTGAAACTAATACATTTTGCTGTCCTATATCATAGCTTAGCTACTAAAAAAATCGTTGGCAGTAAACACAGATTTGTAGTATGAAGTTTGCCAAGGTGGTGAGGCCAATATCAATTAAATGAACATTGGTGAAGATGATCTATACGTAAGAATCTGACTAGATCTGTCATCAAATAGCAGCAGTTATGTCTCATCCCCTGCAAAGATATCTCACATGACAGTAGAAAAAAGTACATCTGACTTTGAATTGAGGTTTTAAACAATAATGCTCCTGATATGGCTCCGTGCGGACGTACGGACACACTGGTAACTACTATATATCCTGACAGCAACGTGTCGGAAATAATAAGGCATCACTTACATGTTGATGGTTCATTTCAGCCATAAGTCCTTCTAATGTTCTAACTTTCCATTTACTTTCATATACATCTCTCATTCCTCTTCCGTAGAAAGAATTGCTATTCACATCTGCTATGCCATAATCGAAGAACCAAACTCTCTCAGACTGCTTGTGACTAGGTTGACGCATGCTACAATAACCATGTATATAATTCAGTACACATTACCAAGACATAATTTAATTAATCTAATACTACAAACTAGACACTCTTTGTAAATAAATAATTACATTTTTAGTATGTTATAAGGTCATCATATGTGAAACAAGACAGTACTGAAACCAATGCTAGGTGAACCAACCAAATTACAAATCAAAAGGGAGGTTCGCTGAGGCTGCATGTTATGCAGAATAGTATACAGAGATTTTTTTTCGAACAGCTGATACGTCAGGTGTGAATACTAAAACAATGTCACAAATTTCCGTTGTTCCGACGGCACAGCATTAATAGTAGAATCAAAGATTCATTACTACATATAGTTGACATAATGCACGTAGAAAGATTGACGAAAAGCCTTGAAATGATTGTAAGTTGACGTAAGATACGCCATGGTTTCAATTTTGAGCAATTAAAGAAATTTAAATAGCTAGGACAAATTTCTAAAGATAAAAAAATGATCAAATCTATCTTAAGTAGTTGCAACCAAATCATTCCTAGGAATGTGTGTAGATGGACCAAATAACTGTTTAATTACCGTAGTGTTTTATATTTCTACTACATACATATTTTGCTAATGCTCACTCTGGCTGTACTTTCTGTACATATGTGTCAATCTTGTGTATACTGTATGTTACAATTATGAATTGTGACCTTTGTTGGAGTCTAAAACTAACCTTTTTGGCTGCGAAAATCATTCAGTTGGATAAAGTTGAATGAAGGATGTCGTTTAAGATGACGGTTTCCGATCCGAGGTCGAAATGTAATCTACGGCATCTTTCCAATTTCTTTGTTTACATATTTACATTCATGGAACAGATGGATTATCGTTTTAATAAAACGTTTCGAAAAGTACATTAAACTCGAAGATGTCATTCTAAACATTAACTTTCTGGTAGGTATGTGTAAGCATGAAATATATAGTTTCTAATCTGTTATGTTTTCAAATTATTACCCAACTTTGATCTAGTAGTAATGTTCACCAATAAATGTATTAGTGTCACACGCAACGTAATATTAGCGTAATTGGTATAGTACAGGTGTGATGGTTCAAATACCAAAATGGCAACAGTAACATAAAGACTTCCCTGGCAGCGATGATAACATACGAACACGGAGCCAACAGATGAGGTTTCAACTGGTACTGGTATTATTATACTCAAGTACAATAACGCGGTAAAACTCCAAACCTCTGTGATAGGTAAATTTGATGTTTAAAAACCTTTCACTTAGGTAACCGGGATTCGGTCGTTTTCCACGCTAGACTCACAAGAAACACACACAAGCTCCATTCATGTTCCAACGATTCTCTGCTCAGTCCCTGGTTTTCACCCGAGACAGCATTAAATCACTCTTTATTTCTTGTCACTCCTTAACCAATTACAATCAGTATAAGAGACTCCAAGGCCTTGCCTTCAAACAACCAACCAATCACATGAAAGTTTTACACATCATAATCAATTGATTAATCGTCAAGCTATTTAGAAAACCACTACTATATTGTCAACACTAACTAATATTTATGGGGTAATAGTCTTGCAATAACATTCCACAAAGATACCACATTAGTTAGAATTGCAAACAAGATTGGTTTAGGATTACAGCTACTGTACTGTAATCTTTTAAAACTGCAGACTCATAAGATGTCTTTGGCTGATTTCGACTAGCTCGCCATCTGGCCTTGTCATTAACCTTTATCAGTAGATGTCATGGCAACCACTGTCAAACTGACTGACCTCGTCATTTAACCCCTATCAGTAGATGCCATGGCAACTACCGTTAGGCTGAAATATAAATCATGACACCTCCAATAACTAGATACTTAAGGTAGCGGGACTATTATTTGCATACTTATTTTCATCTTCTAATTGTGACTAAATGACTACAAATAGACCCAGGAAAGTATATTCACAAGTGTATTTTGCATGCCTGTATCTGCATTCTACGACGCGTTACTCAATCAAAGGTGAACAATTACTTTTTCTGTAAAAAAAATAATTACGCATTTCTGCTGGCGATAAGAAGTATTTTTTTCACTTTTCCTAGTTGTTCAATAGTCTGGTAAATTGAATGTGTCTGGTCTGTTTTATTTAAGCAACGCGTTTTAAAAAATAGTGTGCTGAATTTCAATTACTGTTTTAGTCGCATTGCCCCAACTCAAACCACAACTCGTTGGTAAATAATCAATGAAATAGTCTGTCTGGACACATTCAAGTTCCTCTCACTGTCACCTTAAAGCTGTGAAAATTTGGTGTTAATCCGACGAAAATAAGTATACGTTATTTTTTGTTAAAGACCTTGTATTTTGAAAAACATAAACTCCTAGAAAACGTCCATGAAGTAACAGCAAAGATTTTCAAGCTTGTTTATTGGCACAATCAATTTGTTTTCCCATCAAGGTCTGTTTTAACATGTGTAAGACATCCAAATGTGTAAGCTATTGAAACCAAAAAAAATAAAGATGGGATAGCTATATTGGATAAATTCGGCATTATGAAAACACAAATCAATGATTTTTTT